ATTTCTTGAAGTAGATAAATTTCCAGTTTTAACTTTGTAAATAAAGAGTAATACAGATATGAAGAATAAAGAAATACTGTAAACTGTACTTGATATTGAACAATGTTGAATACAATCAACAGTTTGATATTTTTATGGAGATGGTCTAGGGTTTTTTTTTTGGGTTTGCTTGTTCATTTTAGTCTTATGTACATATCTTAAGTCTATTACTGTTCATACAACTTAGTCATATTTTGGTTGAATAAAAGTTAATGTATTTAACAATATAACTGATGATAGACAAATTCTATGATCCTTGAGGAGATGATTCCAACTTATGCTACTATAACAATGAGCTTCTGTGTCTGTGGACTCTCATTCACCTGACCACAGAATGAACAAACTCAGGGAAATATTCTGTTTGTACTGAATATATGCACAATGTTTTAGTGTCATTGTGCTTTAAGTGGTGCAGGACAGATAAGTACAAGAAATCTAGAAATCATTAAAGTATAACGAAGGATGTGCTTACACTATATGAAAGTACCATGGGACAAATGTTATGGATTTGACTACCCTTGAATTTTGGTAGTTATGGGGTGAGAAAAAGGTACTGGAATCAGTTCCCCTGGATACCATGGAAAGATTATATGCAATTTAATCATTTAGGAAGGTTGATGTTTATGTGTGACTGCTAAAATTAAGGTAGTTCACATTGCCATTTTGAAAGTCTTACTGATGCAAGAAACTGGATGATTTGTTGACCTAATGACAAGCCCTTGGTTTCATTATTAGTTTTGGAATATGTAACAAAATCTTAACAGTAGGCAAGTATGCACTCAGTCATTATATTTTCAGGATACTTTTTCATATAATAATTGTTTTTATTTTCATTTCAAGAAACAGAATCTAGATTTAAGTCATTGTTTTCTGCTAAAACTAATAAAGTCCACTCTATTTTTCTATAACCTTCCTTATATTCTAAAGTGAAGTCATTAAAAGATGGATTGTCTACTAACTTTTAATGAAAAAAATGAAATAATTCAGAAATGTATATGGGCAACACCAGAAGTTATGGTCTTTAAATTGTGTTAAATAAACATTGTCTCTTTCCATCTCTTTAGAAGTTGCAGCAAATTTCCTTAATTTAACTGGGTGCCTTGTGGCATATGCTATTGGTTCCTCACCCAGAATGTGTCTCTCATTCCTTCTATGGAAATAGTTTGCTGATTCTGCTAAGTCTGGCAGGTGCTGAGAGGAAAAGTGAGCATGCTGTCCTGGGGGCAGCATCCCACTTGGTGTGACTCTCACTCTCCTGGGGCACTATCACACTTGGTGTGACTCTCACTCTCTTGGGGGCAGCATCCCACTTGGTGTGACTCTCACTCTCCTGGGGCACCATCACACTTGGTGTGACTCTCACTCTCCTCGGGGCACCATCACACTTGGTGTGACTCTCACTTTCTTCGGGGCACCATCACACTTGGTGTGACTCTCACTCTCCTGGGGGTACATCACACTTGGTGTGACTCTCACTCTCTTGGGGGCAGCATCACACTTGGTGTGACTCTCACTCTCCTCGGGGCAGCATCACACTTGGTGTGACTCTCACTCTCTTGGGGGCAGCATCACACTTGGTGTGACTCTCACTCTCCTTGGGGCAACATCACACTTGGTGTGACTCTCACTCTCCTCGGAGCAGCGTCCCACTTGGTGTGACTCTCACTTTGTCTAACCCTGACCTGGTACTAGTTACTGGTTTAGTACAGGCGGGGGAATGACACCTGCATAATGAAACATGAAGTTTATTGACAAGAAATTTTGAATATGTCCCACAAATTATAAAATGAAGGCAACAAGATAGTCTATGAGAATTCAATTTGTTGTCTTTGGCAAACTAAATCACAGCACATTTTATCAGTTAATAAAGAATACTTTTAAAATACAAATGCAAACCACATTCATGGCTAAATAGGATGTATATATGAGTATATCCTATTGAGAATATATGTTTTCATGTGTACGTATGTGTGTATGTCAAGCACATGTTGAATTTGCCTCCTCAACTCTATTTTTCTTTTTCTATGTATTTTTACAACTATTTTTCTTCCAAGTCTTCTTGTTCCCTCTTTCAGAACATGAGGATCCTACAGTTGACCCTGCTGGGTTCCCCTTCATAAAATACATTGAATTCAAATCTCCAGCATGATTCTACTGGCAAATTTGGAGATGTACAAATGAATGCTTGACTCCATCTTACATAGTCACACCTGAGTTTTTGTATGCCAGTACTTAAAGCTGGAGTGGCTGGTAGCCATCTTGGCTCATACAGGAGCCTTTACACTAAGAAAATACTAAGGAAAGCAAGGATCCTGATAAATGGAACACTGAGGAGGCAACCATGCCAAAGGTGTAATTGGGTGAGGCAGTGAGCTCTCCTGGACTGTATCCCTGTCATATAAACAATGAATTCTGCTCACCGCATTCAACACCCTATTTCAAATGGAATTCTATATTCATAATTCAATATCTAAATTGTATAGACCCTATAGAATTGTTTTCAGTGAAATACTCTATTGATACATAATTATTTAATTACATGGGATTTAGATAATGATATTATCTAACAATAAATAGTCAGTAGGACTAGTTCTCAGTGCACATTATTTATTTATTTCAGCTGATCATGTGATTTTCAGAAGAGTTTCAGATATCTTAGCTTCAAACAGGGTTCACAGGGGCTCACAGAGACTGAAGGGGCAACCACGGAGTTTTGTACGGGTCTGAGCTAGGCCCTCTGCATATATGTTACGGTTGTGTAGCTTGGTGCTCTTGTGAGACTCATCACAGTGGGAGCAGGGCTTGTCTTTGACTCTTGCTTGCTTTTGGAAACCTTTTCCTCCTACTGAGTTGCCTCATCAGGCCTTGATATGAGGTTTTGTGCCTGATCTTATTGTAACTTGTTACCCTTTGTTAGGCTGATATTCCTGGGGGGCCTCCCCATTTATGAAAAGAAATGAAGGGGTGGATCCGGGGGAGAAGGGAGATGGGGGGACTGGGAGGAATGGAGAGAGGGGAAACTGTATTCAGGGTGTAATATATGAAAAGAATAAATTTACACACGCACACACACACACACAAACACACACACATACACACACATATGATATATCTTAGTTTCTTTAAAACTTAGTCTGTTAGTCCAAACAATTTTACTTAGTATTTAGATTACATTAATTTTTAATACTCTGATAGTTTGATTCTGTGGTTGTAGTTCAAGCTTTGTTCTGTTTTCTATTTTCCTTCTACTATGATTTTGTGATTAGTACATTTTAACAGTCAGTTTGTAATTGCTGGAATGCTATATCCTGACTTAAATTTATGTATTAGTTGGAGGAATAATTTTAATGTTTTTAGGTACCTGAACTCTGATCTGAGACCAGCTTAAAATTTATTATTATCTGGAATTTATCCAGTGCATTGTTAGTATAAGCTTCCATCCAGTCATGTGTAAAGATGAGACAGTTAAAATTCTCAAAAGTAGTCAGTCCTGAACATATACATACAAGTAACTTCAAATGGACTCACCAGGGTATAGTTAGGAATATGTGTATATACACACATACATACATGTATACAAACACACGCACACATTCGATATCAATTAATGAAAAAAGAAGCCATGAATTTGAAATATAATGGAGAAGATTTTATGGGAAGTGTTGGAGGAAAGAAAGGGAAGGGATAAATGTTGCAATTGTATCTCAAAAATAAACCAAATCTCAAAAATAAACCAAAAGAAAAAAGAAAACATTTTTTCAGGATTTTTTTTCCCCTACCTCCCCAAAGCTAAGTGTAAGACTCCAAATCTTCCTTTGAATATTTTTTTCTTCATTAGTGTTTTGACCTCGTTTTCCTGAAAACGTTTTAAATTTTATTTTGGAGTCAGTTACTTTATCCAGTTGTGTTGTCTGGCTGGGCTGACCCAACAGTCCACAAGCAATTGCAGTTGCCCCGACTGAGTAAGCTACACCCCCTCACCTGCTTCTCTGTTCACGTTTCCGCAACCTGTTTAGTGTCTCAGAGATTCTGCATATTTTGCTATCTCTTTTGTGCAATGGAGGAGATATTTTTGTACATTTAATCCACAAATTGTAGAAGTTCTGTACATCTTAAAAGTAGATATATACATAAGCCTACCACAATACAAGGAATAGAATTGCTTTAAGGCATAGCCATTATTTGTATAGAGTAATTGTGACAACCTTAACACCCTTAACTCTGAGATTATTTTCTGAGATTTACATTTTCTTTGTAACAAGGATTAATTCAGGATCTTTTTTCCTGTTGTATTTTACCTACTATTAATTTAGTTACCTTATTACCGTTATCTACCTTTTTTAGAGTCCTACACTTTTGTGAAAAACATATTATGAATACTTCAATGAAACAAAGAAAATTGACTAAAATAATTATTTTATCATTTTCACAGTTTGCAATCCATTTTTTACTTGCTTTTGGTTACTTTTGTTTTCTCCAGAAAACAAGTATAGATAATGCTCATTAGCTAAAATATGCTTATTGCTCATCACCTCTTAGTGCACCCACGTTTAAGTTACCAAAGTTTGGGTATTATGTACATTTTAGAGAAAAAAAACATAAAAGCTGAAAACCTTTCAATGGAAATTCTCTAAACTCAATTTATCAAGTAATTGTCTAAATATATTAGGTATCTTGAAATTGATAGAATATATAGCAAGTAATCTCTTATTTACAATTTAGACAGGTGTCAAAACATTTGATTTTTATTTCATATAGCAGCACATGGATACAATTAATCTGTTTACACTTAATAGTCTTAAGGAAATTAATTTGCCTACTTAAAATGTGTGGTGTTTCCCCCAAAATTAAAGCAATTATGAAGAAAAACAGATCATAGTCACAAAGGAAGAGCTTATTTTAATTTTTAAAAAATTGACAGATTATTTTTCATATACGATATTAAAATTGATGCTACCTACCTCTGCGTTTGCAAAGGTCTCTTCATAAAAGGCCAGCATCACTGCAAACTGCAGGACAGTGTACATCTTTAAAAGCTGGGATGCTGCTGATGACAAGGGGACCTCCTGACCTGTGACCTAGTAGACAAGAAGGACACTTGCCTTTACTCCGCCATGGCGCCTTTCTCTGCCTGAAATTCACACTGCAGGAAAAGACTAGTCACAGCAAAAGGAGTTTGATATCTTTGCTCCAGAAGGACTCTGACATTCATTTCCTTAGCTAGAAAATTGTCTGAAGAGTATGACACCTGCTTCTTGATGCAGTTCTGATTCAGTCTTCCTTAAATAAAAACATCATAGCTGCTTTGTATATATTCATAATTGTAATAGCCAAGAAGAAAAAATTAGAACCATTCACATCTAAAAATATGTTCAGGAACATACCAAGAAATTGAAGGCATGTGAATCTGGACAGCATAGGTAACCATGACTCAACATCAAATAGTATTTCATTAAAACAACTTTCCTAAACTACTAAGATTTCTAGAAGTACAGGGTGCTATATTTTTCTTTAGATAAAGCAGATGTAGGCATTCATATAATTTAAAAATATTTACTTTGGCTATTCTGTTAAAAAAGGAAAGAAAAGTAAAACCCTCCTTCCTAGGCATTTTAAAGAAGAAATAATCGATGTATTTTTCACATTTATCAAGCTGACTAATTATAACTAATTATGGATGTAAAATATATGTAAGTCAAGTATTTAAAAACAACAAAATATTATTCAGATAAAATATTCTTTAAGACATCACATGTTTTTATCTGAAATACCATCTTGTAAATGACAATTGACTCTTCCAATTGCTTCTGTACTTGTATTTGTGCCCTTTATTTGATAAAGAAACAGCATATATCATGAACTATTGAATAGAAATCATATTTTTCACCTAGAAGAGAATTTCAGATTTAAATTAAATTTTTCTTGGTTTTATAAGCCAGATGCTAGTGCCACATGCCTTTAATCCAGCACTCGGGAGGCAGAGACAGGAAGATCTCTGAGTTATAGGCCAGCCTGGTCTATAGGGTGAGTTCCAGAACAATCAAGGCTACACAGAGAAACCCTGTCTCAAAAAACAAAAGCAAAAAAGAATTTCTTAGCTTTTTGTATTAAATTTCTATATTTCTTTTTCTCATGTTTTTTTCAAGTTATTTCTATACTTAATATTTCTGTTCTAATATCAAATAAATTAAACCATGCTTTGTCAAAGCAATTTCACTGCCATGATGTGACTTTATAATTTTTACTTAGGGGACTTCATTTTGTCACAAGTGAAATTAAGAATAAACCTGATTTCTAAAGCTCTTTCCATCTCTCAGGTTCTGGGACTGTGTATGGGAGGACATACACCTTTGTTACTCACCAGAGGAGGCTCTGGCCTGTGGGCTTGAAAGGTTCTGAAAGTAGTTTCAATTGTTCTTCTTCCCAAATTATACTCCCTGTAATGAATCAGTGCCCTCCTAGAAGGCAATGCCCTTCTTAATCCACCTCCAGGGTGGTATATCCTCATTACGCTATCCATTTACATTGGCTGAGGTAGCATCGTTTTATAGTATCACACGAAGATAGCACACATGTAGACTGGCTGCATATCGAGCCCCACCGCATCCTCTGCCATGACCTCTACTTACCTCCGGAATTTCTTCACTTAGGCCAAGTCTTGGTTTACCTGGACCCCATCCTGGTCCTTTAAATAGGACAGAAAACTTATGGAAGAATCCAGGTGTAGCCCAAAATGTATTCCATATATAGAGTAAATGGTGAAACTTGGAAAAATAAAAAAAAAAAAATACATGTATAGTTTACTCTATGTAAGAGAAGCATAACAGATAGCATTAAGTATAGCTCATTATATACATCATTATATTGTTCTTTGTAATTTTCATATTTTCTTTAATATATACCATGCATGAGAAGATAGATAATATATTGATATGCAATCACATTCTGTTTTTTAATTAATTCTATACATCTTATATACCTTTGGTGTGTTAGGAAAATCTTTGAAGCTAAATGAAATTATAATTTTATTTTAAAATAAAGAGAACATAATTGATTACAAAATCATCAAAGTAGAGTAAATAAGTTATGAGACTGCATCAAATAACATTAACTAGCTTGTGTGAAAGCAATAACCTGTCTACTGACTCCTTCCCTCACATCTTACTAGATGGGTATTACAGTAGAACATGGAAGCATCATAAGACTGCCGATCTATTTAAATATTTTTAAAACAATGCTTTATTGTGTTACTAATATGATATTAACAAAATATATTCACACACATTTCAGTTTGTAGAGTTCCAAGTATTAAAAAACTCATACTCTGTCACAAAAAAGAAAAGGCTTGGTGACTGAAGGAGACTTTTACAATGAGTGTTACAGCAGAAAAATGCAGTCTTTAAATAGCATTCATTTGACATACACAGAAGTTTAAAAACATGCCCACATATAAGTGCCCAATAAATTTTAACTGTAAGGCATTTCACACAAGTGCCCATAATGCACCACAGGATTAAACATATTCATAGGATTTGGGCATCAGCTTCAAACTCTAAATGTGAGGGGTTTATTAAGTATAGAAATGCATTAATGGAAAGAAAAGCTTTTGCTCTCAGAATTTGTGGTCTTGCTGGTATTTTAGCAGTCCCTGGATGAATTTAAATTGCTAGGTTTAGAAGAATAGATTTTATAATTACTTGAAATATTCCAAGAATCAACCTGAGTTATTATAGGGCTTAATGGAGAAGTTTCTGAGGACGAGGTAAATGTTAGATGAATGCTTAGCCTGGGGATTTTCAATACTAGTAATACAGAAATTAGGATGTTTAGAACTTCCAACATACATTAAAATACTAAATCATTTGGTTATGTTGCAAATGGACTTCAATTTTATTTCTACAAATCTGGATACTACCCATGAGCAGTGTATCATAACAGCTTAATGACATTTTCCTAGTTTACTTGGTTTCCAATCCCCTGGGACTTGGGGTCTTCCAAAAGAGAGCAGAGTGGTCTACATCTAAAAAAAGCAAGCATATCCCTGTCTCTTGTAGGGAAAATTCCAAGTTCCTTTGCAGGTAATAAAATAAGCAATTTAGCTCTATTCAAAGGGAAGTCACTGAAAATAACAAATTTGTGTGTTATAAAATCCCAATTATCATAACTTGCTGACTTGACATTTCTGACTAAAATGAGCACATAGGAGAATAAACCTTAGACCCACACATGACAACTACCATGCTGAAGAAAACATTTTGAAAGGTAGATACCTGGAAGCTTAATACTTGACTTAATGAGCAATGTCATTAAGTGTCTCCCCTAGGCACCTAGTCAATTCCTACTCATTCATCTAACTGTACTGTAGTGCTTACAACATCCATTCACTAACCATTTCTCATGTATGAACCCTTATCCTCAAAAATCATATATTCCCAAAGCCTTGCTTCCTAAAGTGTTATGTATCCATTAACAATATTGACATCACCTATAATCTATTCCAAATAGTCCACAGTGCTGCTAAACAAAACCTGGACTTCACAAAGATGCTCTCATGGGTCACACTGGCATCAGGCTTGGAAAGCTCTGTCCTAGAGAAATAGGGTGGACTTTTATATTTCTCTTTACTTATTCATATTAAGGAGAAAATCTGCCTAAAGTTAACAAAGAGGGCCTTTCATGAATATTTTCTAAATTGGTGATAATTTAATAGAACTGGTTGTAAAGATTTGAAAACTTTTATTATGTGTCTCCTGAGAGACACATCCTGTTGCTAGTAGAGCCTGGGGTAGAGATGGAAAAAGATGTGCCATGTAGTAGAAGAGAGAGAGACAGAAAGAGAGAGAGAGAGAGAGAGAGAGAGAGAGAGA